CATAGAGCCAGGGATTCCTGGGGATGTGCTCCTTCCAGAGATGGGCACCCCGTGGGAAAGGACCCCCACTCTGAACCTAGGGGACCCGGGAGTAGGCTAGGAGGGTCTGGGTACCAATGAGAAGCCCACTCGTCTTCTCGCCAGACATGATTTCGAGGCCAGCTGGCCTGGCCTTGTAGGAGTGGCCCCACCTCGGTGCCCCCAGGGCAGCTTCAGTGTCATTACCAGGCGGGGCCCCATGCAACAGCTGGTTGGTTACTCACCAGGCTACAAACATGTCATTTTCTCCTGCCAGCACCACGCTGGCGGCTCTGACCATAAGCGCCCCCAACGTGGGGACCCAGGCCCCTAATCAGGTCGCATCCCGTGCTGTCTCACCTCACATCTGGGGGCCAGGTAGCTCTAACTGGGGAGCGTTCTTGGGACCAAAGGTCCAACACAGGTGACCCAAAGCCTCACTGCCTCATCACAGGCCTGAAACCCCAGGCTACCTCCACTGGGCATGGGGACAAGCAAGTAGCAAGGACCCTGAGTGAGCGTCCTAAGGAGGAATTCTGCCACATCCATCCTGACTGGTCATGTGAGCCAGAGACCACCACAGTGGCGCTTCCCACGTTGGGTTTGAGGTCTGGCCTTGCTCTAGGTCAGTCTCCTAAGTTCCCTGGGCCCCAGCCTGCTCTACGTCCGGCTAGAGGCAGCAGGAAGCCCAGAAAACCTTTTAAACAAAATGTTTTGCATAGAATTCCTAGCGCACCTGCATATAATGTTCCAAAGACAATCAGAACTTGGTGTCACACGGTGCGCTCTCTGCATACACATGCAGTCTCCGTGCACACAGAGCCCCAAGAGCAGGCCGATAAGTACCCACCAGTAGGATTCTATAAACTATATTTTAAGCCCTGACACACACTTAAAAATAGGCCCAAGCGGGCGGGGAGTGGAGGGATGCTCTCGCTGGGGGTAGAGGTAGTTTTGTGGACCTACAAACCCCTGTCAAAATTCAGTTATGCCCTACCAAGGCTGGTAGTGACATTACAATTTCACAAAGTCGCTTCTTTAAGAGCTGGGGTAGCTATCCACTGGCAGGTCCACCCCTCCAGCCCCAGCTCACGACAAGGCATGGCAGCTGGCTCTCGAGGCCCTGTCCCTCCACCCAACTTTCAGGCCAGGAAGGACACCATGCTCACAGCTAGCCAGCGCTCTGGTGAGGAAATCTGTACGGCAGTCCCTGAGAACAGGGAGTTTCCTGTCTTGGCAAAACAAATAGTGTATCTGTTACATAATGGGCCCGGCTCCTTAGAGGTGCAAACGCGGGGAGAGCAGAGTCCCTCAACGTGATAAAAACGTGACCGTGGGTGCCCACTCCAAGACCAGGCTTCTGGTCCGACCACAACGCAAGACTGACTGACTGACCGACAGGCAAGGGGCACTGGGTCCACGGTGGGGGATGTTTGGGGAGAACCCTTCTCCTGGGGCCCAGCCTGCAGAGTAGCCCTCAGCCCAGGCTGGAAGCCCCTCTCCTCCGGGGGCCCAGCCTGCCAAGTGACCGCTCCTCCTCCTCGGGCCGCCCGGGTCCGGGTCCCAACTTCTCCTTCCGGGGCCCCGCCTGCAGAGTAACCCTCAGCCCAGTCTGGGCGGCCCTCTCCTCCCGGAGCTCAGCCTGCCGAGTGACCGCTCCTCCCCGGGTCGGGTTCCCCCTCTCCTCCCGGGGCCCACCCTGCCGAGTGACCGCTCCTTCC